CTACGCTAACATGAAATAGCACTCACTTATGTCTCCAGCCTCTGAAACCAACCCTCCACTCGACAACATGAAGTCATGAATGCCTGAAACATCAAAGATGCAGCCCGAACATATTGTGGGGCTTGCCGCTCACTGGATCTTGAGTTTAATGTTGCGCCGCGTCGTATTGTACATGCCGTCTGAGTGCTAACGAATGGGAAGATCGGAAGAACAACGAGAGTCAACGAACGAGATAGTTATGGTGGTGGTACAAGGTGAAGCCTGAATGCTGTATGACATGCGGCATGGGGCGAAGTATGAAGATCTCACGTGGCTCAGTGCGGATTCTGACATCATTTCCCTTTCGGGGAATGGGCACATGGGAGGCTCAACATGTCACAGATTTGTGACACTTCGTGAAATTTCGTGCACGACTACAATCTGCTCAACCAAGATGCACATTTCCATCCACCAATCGTTATCTAAATCTGTCTTTCCAAATTCATCGCCTGATTTGTTTCCAGAGTCCCTAGAGTTCAACGAGACATCACTTTCCGTCGGCATCGTAAACATCGGCTCTCTCTCTCAGCTTTCTGCCCCGAGCAGCTCATTTTCCTCGTTATGCGACTCATGTATAATCTCGTGCTCAACGTCGCTTTCACGGTCCTCATCTGGCTCAACAGCAGGCAACGGTGGTCGTTGTGGTAGCGGAAACGAGATTGAGAGACTGACTTGGGCCTTCTGAAGTACTTGGTAATGGGGGCAAGCTGTGCGCGGAGAATTGATGGGAAAGCGGTGGTAGATATGGGGCTTGGTTGAGAGCTCTACTGTTGAGCTAGAGGTGCTGACTCGGTCGGGTGAGGTTTCGACTGGCGGCATCCGCCGTCGCTTTTGCAGCCTGCAAAAATTGCGGTTTTATTCGATGAGTGGAATCTGGATGATCATCTCCCTCCCACCACCACTGTCATCTTCAGTACAACGGCATTCCATTCGCTACGATGCACCTCATTCGACAAGAGCTGTATTGTTTCCGTGCTTTGCTGCCCTACCACACCGTCACCACAAAACCTGGCTCAGTACACGTTTTGTCTCGCGCAATACAACTTCACAGTGCCTTTGAATAGGTCTATTGCGCCTCAGCACTTTAGCAGCGGCACGACCAGTATACTAGGCTGCAACCGCTATCAGCTACACCATGTTCCAGCCCCATATCAAACATTCAACCTTTTTCTCGCAATTCGGCCTCTCCAGCACCATATAACATCCATAGGACTTCAAGTTACCCTTTTCATCCTTCCACCCCTCAAGTTTACAGCACCGCTCACGAAACCACGTATACAACGCACACGTTCGGCCAATTTATATGCCACGCTTACAACCAGTATTCTTCAACCACCACCCAACTCGCGGCAATACCGCTGGCTCTTTTACGCAATACGAGCAGCACGGGAACGCCGGTCATGTCGGTGGACGTCACCCGAGCAGTAATAATGCCCTCTATGATGGTCTATATCAATTTTTTATCCATGATTCTACCTTACGATGCTGAAGTCCAATATAATCATCCTACCTACGCATTTTTGAGGCTCGAGAGGATGGGATACTGTTGCACTTTGAGTTTTGCTGGCAGACTGGGTGAGGCTGGAATGCGAAATTTTCATTAAGTTCATTGTCGCATTCCCGTGACACGGTTTTGGAGCAATAACGTGCTGGCCTCGCGAGTCTATCATTCCCCGTTCATCATATGGCGAACCGGTGCTCAAGAGACAAGTCGAGCTACGCCTGGCGAAGATAGAGTTATGCCTCTCGACCGATCATGGGGCTCTAGCGAATTGTTATCGTGTACGAGGAAAAGGAAAGAATTGGTGTATTCCATCCACGCGGGGATAATAAAAGTTTTAACGAGTACCAGGTTGGGCAGTGCGGAAGTGCTGATACGATCGTAGATGTACCTATCACGGCAAGTGTCAATCAGTACAATGCAGTGAAAAAGAGAGCCAGTTAACCAATTGGCGAATCAGAGATGCACTGGGTTTGGCTGTGTGCTTTGCCGTTCGTCAGAGCCTTGGGCTAGGACTGGGGCGGCGAATGAAGTCTTCATAGAGATTGAATGCGCAGAGGGGGACACACGTACCAAGGCATGCTCGGTTTTGCAGATTGAATAGGTATCTGCGTATCATATAGTTTCATTATGTGGTGAGGACAGACGAATAGCAGGAGGAGATGCAACACGTTCGGCTGTGCTCTGCCACTCGTCAATAGCTTGACTTGCGACTAAGGCAAGCCAAATGATCATCATCGAAGTACTTACCACACTATCTTGTCGGAGTTCCACGGAAATTATGTGACGGCCGGTCCTTCCGTAGGCTGTAGCATGCATACACTTGGGCTTCGCGGTCACCCTCTAGCATGTTGTCGTCAATGTAAGATGCGAAGGACTTAGAAGGAGCAACAAACGTACCCAAATCTTTTACGATCGCCACAAGCGATTCTGTGCCCCTTCCATTGTGGCATTGAGTGACCTTCCACTTCACATGTGTCGCACTAAACACATGGTCAGCAAGATTTCTGAGGACGATTCTGGAGACCAACTTGCGTTTGGAAGGAACCTTAAGGTGAGTTGGCGTTTTCCTGAGCTCGCGAGCCTGTGTATGAGCATCCGTAGCAAAAAAAAGGCTCCCGAGCTCACAATGAGCGCGTCGACCTGTTTCGCCTCTGCAATCGGCGTGGCAGCCACTGAGGGTGAGGCCACTGTTCTATCCCAATCGTGCTCGTTATCAAGATATGAAGTTAGCTACTTCGAGATTTGGTATCCAAGTCCCTTTTGGCAGTAGGGGTTGAAGGGAGAAGGGCGACAGGTTGCTGCATGTTCGAACGCAGGTGGAGGGGAAAAAACTCGGTCCGTCAGATTAAAAAAATTGGACAGATTCCCACGAATGCGGCTTCGAGATCCGAACTGCCGGCGATTGCCGTCGTAGATCTCTTTCTCCATGACTATCACAGCCCACGCTCATATAACCCACCCGCCGTACAGCCAATTGCACCGTAGCTTGAAATCCAACTAATTGCAGCTCTTCATATATCATACGACGGCTGGCGCCATGTAACCGCCTCTGCTCCAATCCGGGCTGAGCCAGTTCGTTTGAGAACCCCAAACGTCGTTCTACATCTTATTCGAGCACTAAAAGTTACGAGTGTATTCTCTGTCGCCTATCAGTACCTTTGGGGGACATCGCGTCCTAAGAAACGTCACTGATACATTCTTTGGCGAGTTGAGCTGGGTTGTCAGCGGATCTGCGGCCCGCTTACATCCAGCCGCCCTACGAAACGGAAGAGTTCAGTGTGGTTTAGGTCGTGTTGTGATTGACTGTCTCCGTCTGGTGGGTGGGAAGGAGCCTGATCACAGCCAACGCTTTATCTCAAATCAGTTGTACAGCAAGCCTGGTCTAAGGAAATCTGTCCCTCTAATCCAAGACTTCCGCTGTCTGCTGAAGCCTTTGAATTCAAGATGAAGTAACGACGTGCTCAGGCAATTCATCTTCGGATTCGGTCCACTTTCATATGGACGAATGGCACATCGGACAAGTTTGGCTTCGAGAGGATACGGTCCACCCACCAATCTACGAAGACTGCTGGCAACTTTTTGACTTCGACTTGTATTGGGACTACGTGGGTGTTTCAATGAAGCTATCTGCCTCGTGAATCTATCGCGTTGGAGTCGCTCAAAAGCTGCAAAATTAAGGCTAGTCATCGTAACAAATTCAATGCAGAGATTTTGCAAATCCTCAATTACGCCCTACAAACATACAAGTTCACAAATTGTTAGCCGGGAATCTGACCGAACGATACACTCTCTCCAATGTCTATCCTTGACCCTCCTTCGGGCTCCCCAACCGTTCATGATTTCATACAGTCTATCGGCGTGACCAGGCTAAGCCCCTCCTTCTCTGTGCTCATCACCGTCGCTGTGGTCTAGTATCGACGATGGAGAGCCTGGTGAGGTCTTCTGAAGCTCAATCGCATCACCTAGGCAAAGTCCCAGCCTGTTCGCTAATGGAGGACCCATCTGACTGTCCATGTCTTCAGCCTTCGGCTCCGAATCAAAATTGAGTCGCCGGGCGAGGCGACCTAGAGCGGCTTTACCTCTCGAGAGTCCCTCTGCACCTCCAAGGCTACTCATCTCGGGGTCTGAATCATATTCATCTTGAGAGTATGTCTCTTTGTACGGTTGCTTGGGTGGAGTACCTGGGCTTGTACTGAGAGCCGATATGTCGAGAGAGCATCGATCTATCAAGACTCTGTCTCCGTTCTTTTTGGGAGTCTGAGGGTTGGACATAGGCTGTCTCTCCTCCTCGCTGTCCGAGTCATCGTAGAGACACCGAGACCCGACATTCGATGTGATTTCTTCTTCTAGGACGGGTTTGCATGTGGGAGACGAGTGAACAGTGGGCTGGGAGGAAGATCTGAGGGCGGACGATGAAGGTGACGCGAGGTTGTTGTTTTCTTGCATGGGAGTCGTACGAAAATAGGTGAGTTTCTGCGGTTGATTATCCTACTAACTGTAGATACCTGATTATATAGAATCACGCGTTCAGTGGCACCGAAGTCTGGTTTTGCAGTTCTACTATCCCGAGACTTGATCCTTGAAAAATATTGTCTATCTCGAAGATTACGCGGAATACATAACGTTTATTTAGAATATTGCCTTCTGTTGTTTTCTGGACAATCGACAAGGGAAAGCGCGTCAGAGTCATTGTTCTTTCCTCTATCTTGCTCACGACATTCATTCTTCGAAATTGGTCGATTCTTCGCGTCATTCCTTGCCATGAACTTACTGTTCTTCTGCCGGCGCCTTTGTTCCATTTATTGACCGCCGGTTTGCTTAGCCCGTTTCGAAACGTGGGATGTACATCCATATTCGGGCAGATTCCTGAATGCGGGGCCAGTCAGCAGGGAGTTATCCTCAGTACGGAGCCACTCAACAGGTTGTAGTTTTGACTGTTCTCTAATATCTGGCAGATTCCCTGGTAGTATATCGGTTAGTACACGCGCCTGTCATCCTGGTAGTGACGCGCGAAAGCTGGGTTCGACTCCCAGCCAGGGAGAATATCGTTTTTGTACAGATCGAGATTACCGGTCGTCCCTTACGTCTGTGAGAAAAGACAATCAATGTTCTAAGCAGCTCAGAGCCCGTTTGGGTAAATGGCCTAGCGCAGGGCTCAGCCCAGACTCAACGAAATCCCCCGCCAAATCAAGTAGATTAGGGTTAGCCAAGCCTGGCTAGGATTTCCACATCAAGGAAACAATTGTCTTCCCGTGTTGTTGAGGAAGGGCGAGCGAGACTGGCTAGTGTTATCAAGTGCTGAACATCTGGCGGCAAATTTTGTCCAGCCCAAGCCTGACCTAAACCGTTCACCCGAATGGGCCCTTAGCGGATCATCTGTCATACTACGATTCCTATAGCTACAGCCTACAAACCAACTGGGAACATGAGAGCATCGCCCCACAAATTGCTCCTACAAGTTTGTCCGGCCTTGCGCAGCATCTTCCTTGACACCTTTCCCTTCCCCTTCCCCTCCCTGCAGGTCAGGCCCAAGCCAGAGCAAAGCCGACGTCGGTCTTTGTTTCCATTTCGTTTTTCCGGGCAAGGATGCCTCCCCATTACCCTTTCGTTGAAAGACATCAGAATGATAAAAATGATAAAGATGGCGCCGGGCCACCATCAACTTCTGTAGAGCGAGATGTTACCACCGTTACTCCCCAGTCCAAAGGGCAGCGTGAGCATACTCCGAGGTCCTCTGTCTGAACCACTACGATTCTTACCCCAGGTATTACAAGTGCCCCGGGCCCCAGCGTCGACTATTGGAGAAGAAATTCCTACCACTACTTTGGGTGAGATTATATATACGATGTCCGAACCGAGTCTCTTACACAAGGCAACTGCTGCTTCTAGTCCATCCTCTTCCGGCTAGTTCTAGGCCTACCGTGTCAACATCAGTTGCCCGAGGGGTTTCTGCCGTTTCGCCTACCTATTCTAGGCCTGCTCCTGAGCACACCGTGCCGGTGTCAGTTCCCATTCCCTATAACATCATGTCTCTTTATTACATTGAACACTAGTTCATGCAGGTCCACCGTGGCAGAAGCAGTTGTTGCTACCAGTGGTATCACTGAGACCACAGTGTCTTCGAGTATCATCGCCGGTAGCATAGTCGGAGGTGTGATTGCCCTTGTCTCGATCCTTGGGATTATCATCGTCGTTTGTATGCGTAAACGGTCGCAGAGGAATGGAGGTGAGTGTCTCAGATAGAGTCCAAAATCGCGAAACTTACCGTCGATGCTATGTATAGAGCATCGCCGACGACGATGCAGACAGAATTTTAAAGTAACAGCTCTGTCTGTCATGACGGCGGGACCTGGAAATTGCCCTCGAAGGGTAGGTGAGGAGAAGATTCAGGGGCTCAGACGTGTCGAGCATGTTGCGCCCCGACCCACTGCAGACGATCAAATAGCTGGGGGAGTAGACTCAGAGGTGTTGGCAAGGCTCGATATGATTATGGAAAGGGTTACAAGGTTGGAGGCTGACCGGGAGAGAGACAGGCAGGAGGCGCCTCCGGATTATGCCTCTAATCGGTCTTGACAAAATGATTTATTGATCATTTGACATGTTCCCTGAGAGGAAGTTTGAGCGGGGGTACTGAGAATTCGAAGTACTGAGCATGCCATAGTGTACCCGCGATTAGGTCCCACGAGTTCTTAGCGGTGCTAATTAGCAATGAGCCTTCACGACCTATTTAGCTTAGCATATTAGCATTGCTAATTAGCTAGATATTAGCAAAAAAAAGAATCGGTTATTTTTCGTTTCGGTGCTCTAGTTTTTCGTCTCCTACGGCTATTTCTACATTATGGAAGCACGTAACTCGTCATTAGAAGGAGTTCCGGTCATTATTCGAGGATCGCAGCACGCACGAATAGGCTGCGATACACGTCCTGATCGCGTCGAAATTTTAGGCGCTCAATAAGCGCACACTCACATGTTCAATACCTTCCGATTCACACAAACTACGTCATCTGCAGTCAGAGAAATCTGTGCCAGCGCGTCAAAACCTGCATTAAATTCATCTAGAAGCTCGCCAGACTGGTAAGACCTAATTAGCAGTTGGATACCTAATCAGCACCTAAATTTTGGGAGTTTCGGAGGGCTTGCT